GAGTTCGTACATATCAGGCGCGGATCCCTGGGTTCCCGCGGCACCCGTCCGGCATCTGCCCAGACCCCCTTCTGGGGAGTCATGATGCTCTCTTTTGAGACCACTAGAAACCTATCAGCCTTCGCTGTTAGGTAAAAAGCATGTTTGCGTAAAAATGGTCGGCAGCTCTTTGGGGCGCTGCCCCCTCGCTCGCTCCGCCGCCCGCGGGGCCCTGCGACAGTCGGTTGAGGGGCCTCTTGGACTGGACCTCGTTAGGACTGGGAAAGACCCCCGGGGCCCGCTGGGCATTCTGAGCCAGCATGTTGACGAACTTCGCAAACATAATGCCAACCAGTCCCTGTTGGAATGGAAAGATTGGGCGGGGGCTTCAGCGCGGACAGGGGGGAAGGCGGAGCATGCGTTTTCCAGAGTGCCGCGGTCCGATCGCTCCTCGCCGCCCAGTGTTTCAGGCGAGCCTGGCCATCTCTCCCTGTGAATGGCGATTTGGCCATCCAAGAACTGTTGGACCAGTGGCTCCCGCTCTGGCACAAGGAAGGAAGGATTGGGCAGGATCATTTATGCAATTGGGAGGGGCAGGAGCTTTCCCCGTTGACCTTGGAGGGGTTGCGGCGGGTGCGCAAGGGGCATGGGGAGGGAGCTGGTTTAAGGTGGGATTCGATTCGCCCGAAGCAGATCCTCCTCTTCTCCGAAGAGCATCAGCAGCGAGTGCTCGATGCGCTGCAGGAGTTTGAAGACAAACCCAGGGTCATTCGAGTTTCTCACCAACGTTATCTTTGTGGTTAAGCCTGATGGAGGGGTCCGTCCGATTGGGTTGTTGTGCCTGTTCACTAAGATTTGGTCGAAGTGCCGTCATGAGATCTGCCGTCGATGGGAACATGCCCATCAGGAGGCCTACTTCTGGGGCTGCGGAGCGACCTCCACTTGCGAAAAAGCAGCGTGGATCCACAACATGTTGGCGCATTTAGGGAAGGTCCTGGGGACCTCGGCAGCCACGGTCCTCTGATATCTTAAGAATTTGTACGAGCACATCAGCCACTACGACCTGCATCGAGCAGCCTGCCAGCACGGCTTCAATGCGAAGCAGCTCCGAGGGCTGTGCGCGGTCTGTGCAGGAGAGAGAATGTTACAGTATAGAGGGGCTGTTTCACGGAAGATGCATGGGAATGGAGCAGTGATTGCAGGGTGCTCTGCGGCAAACGCACTCACCAAGCTTTCGCTGCTTCCCCCGCTGGGAGCTGCGCAGTCTGGCCAGCCCCAGTTGAGCACCAGGAGCGTTATTGGTGATATTGCGTTGCAGATTGTTGGTCCGCAGCCCCTGATTGCCCCGCAGATTGTGTCAGGTGTTCAGTTCCTCCTCAGCGGTTCCTCGGTGCTTGAGTTTCCCGCCTCAACCATGTCGACGTGCGTGACTAGCGACTTGGCCATGTGTGACGCCCCCCAGCCGCTCTGGGACCTCCCGAGGGAGCGCCGAGTCGAGCGCTCCAGGAACCTGGGCAGCGACGCGGTCATGAGACACCTTACGTAGGGTGGTTATAACCAGAGACGGGTTGGTGAAGGCTAGAGGGAGAGCTCAGAAGATGCGCATGCTCAGGGAGGCGGGGGCCAAGACTGGGCGGGCCCAACGGGGTGGGGCCACGGCGTCGGCCTTGCGGGGGCCCCGCATCATGGGGGTCCCCCCGCACGCGTTGCACCGGCTCCGTCTCGGCGCGGTCAGCAGTCTCGGCAGGGCCTCCAAGGGTTCCATGGTTGGGCCCCGCTTCCAGAGCTATGCTGAAGGGGGCCGTGTGGACCCGCTCTTGCTGAACAGCGGGATGGTCGCGTCCCAATGGGCGTCTGCGGTCAGTTAGTCTTTGCCTAAGCAGCAGGTCTTGGAAAAGTGCCTCGAAGGGGCCCCGGGCCACCGGGAGGGCTCGCAGGCGCCCTGGAGAAGAGCCGCCTCCCCAGCTGATGTTGCGGCTTTAGGCCAGGTGCTCGCGTGGTCATGGATCGGCAATATGTATTCCACGTGCGAGTCGTACCACCAGCTCTTGCGCAAGAGCTGGCAGCCCCCGGAGCTGGGGGGGCATCGGACAGACATGCGCTCTGCAGTCGCCAGCCCCACGCAGAGCGCGGGCTCTGATTTGCTGGAGCGGCTTGGATGAGCTGCTGCATCTGATAAAGAGAAGCTGGACAACGAGGCTTCAGAGGACACTGGGGCCCCTGATGCCGCTGGACTCAGGTGCGCCTCCACTCATGGTCTAACCAGCGTGCCGTGTCTGCGGCGATCTCGATGGATCCATGCTGCGCAGAGCGCACGGCTGCCCCGAGCGCGAATCTCTTCGGCAAGAGTTGGCGTCCGGCTTCCTTCGGAGACTTACGGGCGCGCAGGGTCAAGGAGTGGGGCTTCGGTGTCGGTGAGCGTTTCGCGCGAGGGCTCTTCCCGTCTCCGGAGCTCGCCTCCGCTCCCCCATCAGATCCTGAGTGTCAGATCCTCTGGCGCAGCCGTCCAGAATTGGGGCTCCTCTCGGGCATGTTGTTTTAGATGGGCCGGCTCTGTTGTCCCAGGCCCCGTTTCTGGCCCGCGCGGGCTGGGCTATCTGCCGAGCCGACCGCGCCGGGACACTCGAGGCCGCGGCGCGCGGCCCTGCGCCTTTAAAAGTGCGCCCTGAGCAGACAGCTCGAGACGCTGAGGATTGCGCTGACTTGATGTTCAGGATGCGCGCGCTAACTCCGTCAGGTCTGTGCGTCGACTGCGCGGGCACTGTTGGGACCTTGCGCCTTGGCGCTGGCGGGGGAACCCAAAGCAGTTGTCCGCGCGGCCAGCTCTGGAGCCTGTTCTGGGGCGTTCCCCCCCCCCCCCGACGGGGGGGTTCGCGTTTTCAGGGCCAAGGCCCATTGTGCCAGGGCCCAGGTCGAAGAAGGCGTCACAACCGAGTGGCAGTTCAAAGGGGGCGCCCATGCCGACCGTTTTGCGAAGCTCGGGGCGGCTGAGCACGGAGCAGGGATCGAGTAGTTCCAGTTGTGGCAAGGATTTCAGAGCCTCGCCTCAGAAGCTGCGAGATGGGCGACGACGATGCACGTATAATCCGAGAGCCAGGATCACGAAGACCTCATGGAGGCGGCTTACTGGCGGTCTCAGGGCTCAGAGGTGCCTGCAGGCGCTGGGCAGCGCGAGCCCCCTGAGCCTGCCCCAGGCGATGTTCAAAGGCCACGGGGGCCCGAGGCGAGCGTCCCGGGGGGTGGGTACGGGTTTGGTGACGGGTGGGCGGAGCTTGCAGCTTCGAGTTTTTTGTGGCGATGCCAGAACTTGTTGCTGGCTGACGTCCTCGACCGCGCGTCCCCAGTTTTGCTTGTCGTTTGCTTGTCTCTGTTGTGGGACAGTTTCCACCGACGGGGAGCTGACCCCAGGTCTGGTGTTTTGGTGCGGATCCGAGCAGAGGAAGGCTGGAGGGTCCGACCAGCTTCGACGTATCAAGAAGGGTGGGATCCCATTCTGCCGCGCCAAGGTGTGCCACTTGACGGTCGGGCGGCCTCGCGGTGTCCTCCCGCAACCCCGCGACAGCCTGGAGTCCCAGGCTGAGGCGCGGACGCCGCTCGAGCCCCACCCCCTTGCCCGTCGAGTCGGGGTCGGAGGGGGCTGAGGGCTTGCAAGCAGGGGTGGGCGGGCCGAGGTCTTGAGAGCGGTCGGGCTCTCCGAGGGAAAGCTCGAGCACGTTCGAGACCTCGGTCGGCCGCCAGGCCCTCGCGCGGAGCGACCCACCCAGACAACGCCGATGAGGGTGGATCGGGATCTGAGCTCGTTTTCGGGTGAGTTTTGGGGCGGGACCCAGCGTTTAGCGCAAACTCATATCATGCCATACCATACCTCCCGTCCTCCGCCTCCTCCTCCTCCTCCTCCGCCTCCTCCTCCTCCGCCTCCTCCTCCTCCTCCCCCCTCCCCCTCGCCCTGCTTCCCCTCCTGTCCTCCCCTTCACTCCTCCATTTCCTCCTCCGTTTCCTTTTTCCCCCTCCTCCACTTCCTTCCGTCCTCCTACCATCCCCTCCCCTCTCCCCTCCTTCCTTTCCTTCCTTCTTCCTCGTTTTCTGGGGCGTTTCCCCGTTTTGATATTGACATCTGCTCCAGAGGTATGCAGCGCCGTCGCCACCGCCATCGTCGTCGCCCCCGTCCTTACAGCTGCAGCGATCCTAACGAATCCCGCATGGTGGTGGGACACGCTCCAAAAAGGGCCTGAAGCCGCTGAAAAGCTCAAAATAACCTGGGCTCATGATCCTCGAATATTTCTCCTCTCTCTTCTCCTTTCTCCCTCCCTCGACCATTTCCCCTCGTTGCTTCCTCTTCCGCATCGGAGGGAGAAGAAGAGACACCACCACCGCCGGAGGGCCACCTCCAGCGAGCAGGCCCACGTTGCACCCGTTAGCTGGAGAGTGGAGGTGCCCCGAACGGGACGCCACAGAACAGGGGGGATCACACTGCCCGGGGAACCGTCTCTGGCCGCTTCTCACCGTTTCGGTGGTGGTGCCAGTTTTCTGTGCTCTTTCCCCGGCCAGCCGGCCGCTTCGGTCCTCGCCCAGCACGTCCGCATCAGGTTCTCCTGCGACATGCGAGAGTGGACTGGTGCCATCGTCCGCTTCCACCTCCTCCACCTCCTCCATGGTCTGCCACATGAGACTGGCGCCATCGTCCAACTCCTCCTCCTCCTCTACCCTCCTTTCTTGACGTTGCGCGGACTTGCGCAAAAGAGCTGGAACACCTCCTCCTCCTCCTCCTCCTCCTCCTCCTCCTCCCCTCTTCCTCCTCCTCCTCCTCCTCCCCTTCCTCCTCTTCCTCCTCCTCCTCCTCCTCCTCCTCTCCTCCTTCCCTTCCTCCTCTTCCTCCTCCTCCTCCTCCTCCTCCTCCTCCTCCTCCTCATCCTTCTCCTCCCCTTCTCCTCCCCCTCCTCGTCCTCCTCCTCCTTCTCTTCCTCCTCCTCCTCCTCCTCCTCCTCCTCCTCGCGATCCCCCTCCTCTGGCCGCCTTCTCAGGCGGAGGCCTCGCAGCTCTTGCGGGAGGTGCGGGATGGGGCGAAGGAGACGCGCAGGTTCCGCGCCGCGGCGTGGGCGAGGAGGAAATGGTCGAGGTGGATGAGGAGGAGGAGGGCAGGACGAGAACGGCGGAACAGGGGGTGAGGAGGAGGACAAGGACGAGGACAAAGACAGCAGGAGATGGAGGAGGATTATGCTAACATTATAATGAACAGGGTACAGAGGAGGATGAGGAGGAGGATGAGGATGAGGAGGAGGAGGAGGAGGAGGAGGAGGAGGAGGAGGAGGAGCCAGGGAGAAAGAGAGCGGAGACAACATGACGAGATGAGGACGAAGAGAAGGAGGAGGTGGAGTGGACCAAGATAACGAGGAGCGGGATATGGAAAAGGACGAGGACGCGGCGCTGCTGCGACCCCGGCGGCCCCGTAGCCTCCAGCATGCGCACGGCCGCGCGTCCCGTGAAGCAGCGCTGGCCGCCAGCGCCACCCTCCGCGCGCTGCGCACCGCGGACTCCCGCAACCCCGCTTGGGCGGCCACGCTGTCGGCGCTCAGGCCAGGGGGCGCGTTTCCGGCTCATGCGATCGATCGTGCTGAGGCGGATTGGCGGCAGGCTCAGGACGCTGCCAGGAGACGGAGGCGAGACGAGTGGCGACGCTGGGTGCAGGACGCTATGGCCAACGGCCAGGGGCGGCTGTACCGATGGATCCGCGGGGGCGGGACGCTGGAGACTACGCTCGTGCCGGCGCCGCCTGCAGCTGGGGCTGCCGCGGCGCCAGCGCCAGTCCTAGGACACGGGACTTGGGCCCTCGCCTTGCAAGGGGACCCCGCCGCGCGGCTGCGCTACTTCGAGGGCCCCTGGCGCGCCATCTGGCAGCAGCCAGCCGCGGCAGCGGTGCCAGAGGTATGGCAACAGGAGCTGGACGGAATGCCGCCCTTCCCAGACAGGATCCCCTGGACAGGGGATTCTGTGAGCTGGCTGTTGCGGAAGATGCCTAAGCGCAAAAAGCCAGGCCTCGACGCGTGGACGGTGTCCGAGCTCAGGCTGCTGCCGGCGGAGTTGCGCGGCTGGATCTCCCATCTGTTCGAGGCGGAGGAGGCGGCGGGTGGCTGGCCACGGGAGCTGGTGGAGGCGGAAGGTTTGCTGCTGCCGAAACCTTGCGGGGGCGAGGGCCCGCTCGAGCGCTGGCCAGTCTGGACCGCCTCTGGACTACCGGCCGCGCTCGGATTTTTGCCAAGTGGCGGTGCGCTGTTGGGAAGGGGACTCCTGGCGACGCGGCGCCGAAAAGCAGGCGTGGGAGCTCGCCCTCGAGCTCGAGGCCGCCGAGGCGCTGTCAGAGGAGGTCGCCGGGGCCGCATTCGACTGTCGGAAAGCGTACGGCCAGGTCGACCTGCAGACGCTCCCAGGCCTCCTGGCCCGCGCGGGCGCCCCTGCCTGGCTGGCCCGCCCCGCGCTGGCGGCCTACGGAGCGCGTCGGCGCATCCGGGTCGGCAGGGCCATCGGGGCTGCCTGGGCCCGTGCCCGGGGCTTGCTCCCGGGCTGCCCCCTCGCGGTGTTCATCCTGGCAGTGCTCACGTGGGCAAGCGACTTGCCGGGTGGATGGCCGGGGCGAGTCTGCCGAAAGTGTCCGCGATGCGTTGCGCCTGACAGACGCCTTCGAGGCGACGATGGGGTGGCGGTTGAATCGGGACAAAAGCCGGCACTTTGCCAACGGCCGAGCGGCGCGGCAGTGGCTCGCAGAGCAGACGCCCAGCATCCGTGCCCAGCCCGGTTCCGCGACCTCGGGGTGGCGGCGGTGGCCGGAGGCAGCCACCGCTGCGGGGTCACCGCCAGCCAGACGCAGGGGGTGCTTGGTCGCTTCGCGCCCGTCGGGCTGTTGCCGCTGCGCTGCGGCCAACGCTGCCTCTTGGGCGCCGCCGCAGGCACTGCGTCCGGGCTGCGCAGCGCCTCCTGCGGGCGGCCCCCCGCTCGCGAGCTCGCCGCGCTCCGGACTGCCGCCCGACAGGGGCGGGTTCCGCACGGCCGCGGAGATCGTCTTCGGCATGCTGGCGCCTGGCTGGCGGCTGGACTCGAGATCCCCCTTCCGTCGCCAGCGGTTCCCTGCTGCCCTGTGGCGCGCGGCGGCCGGGGCAATGGCTGCCGGGCACGGCCGCGGAGTGCCCGCCGCGGCCCGCAGCATGGCGGAGCTTCAGCTCGGGGGCGACGTCGAAGTCTGGCGGGGGCCGCCGGCCGCGCCAGAAGGCTGGCGCCCAGAGCAGCGCCCGCTGCAAGACACCCGCGCCGTCTTGCTCGAAGCCTGGGCGCGGCGGCCCGCCGCGCCGATGTCGCGCGCGCAGGCGGGCGTTGACAGGCGGGCCACCCGGCGGCTGCTGGAGGGCGCTCTGACGCCGGAAGCCACCGGCGCGCTGCGCGCGGTGTTGTCCGGCATCTCGGCCACGGAGTCGGCGGCCGCGAAGTGGGGCAAGCCGCAGCGCAGTCCGCGCTGAGGCGCCGCGTGCGAGGACTGGGAGCGCCGCTTCCGGGACTACCCGCGGCGGGCCGAACCGACGCGCTCGGCGCTCGTGGCAGGGGGCCCCTCAGCCGCTGGCCTGCGGGCTCGCTTGCCGCCGGGGGTCGCGAACTCCAGCGCGCTGCCGGTCGACACCCGCCTGGCTGCGCTCGCCGCTGCCGCCGGCGCCAGCAGCCCCGCGCCCGCGCCCGCCCGCCGAGGGCGCGGCGCGGGGCCGGGCATGGACCTACGGCGGGGCGCGCGAGCACCTCGTTTTCCGCCTGGAGGGCGCCGCGGGCGAGCAGACCGACCGCAGCGGCGGGGTCGACGGTGCGCAGACTGCGCAGCGAGCCGAGCTCACGGCAGCGGCGCAGGCGCTCCACGCAGCAGCCGCTCGAGGTCGTCGCTGACTCGCAGTACGTCCGCAACGGTGTCGCAGCACTCCGGCAGGACGCCTCCCCACGGGAATTGTCGCTTCCCGATCTGTGGGAGCTCATCGCGCGCCGCTGCCGCTGTGGGCTGCTGACGGCGCGGTGGATCAAGGGCCCCCTAGACGAGGAAGGCGCAGCCGCGCGCTGGGTGTCGGCCGAGCTCCGGCTGGGCAACAACGCCGCAGACCAGCTGGCAGGGGCGGCGGCATCAGCGCGGCTGCCGCCGCGGGACCTTTTGCTGGCTCGTGGATACAGCACGCCCTCCGGACGCTGCAGGTCATGCTGGCCGGGGTCGAGTTGGTGGCGCTCAGGGCCAACCGCGGCAGCGTCGGGCAAGCGCCGCCGCGAGCCCCGCGCGGGCGGCGACGCAGCAGTGGCGGCGGCCTCGACCAGGCGCGCGCTGCCGTCAGCGCCGCGCCAGAGCCCTGCCGTGGCGGCGCGCGCGCTTTTCGCCGGCGGCGCATGGCGGGCGCACGTCGCATCGCAGGGCCCAGGGTGGGTGGCTTGCATGCGCTGCGGCTGCTGGGCCCCCGCCTGCTGGGGGGCTCGCCCGAGGGCGCCTGGGTAATTATGTGCGCGCAGCTGGGCCGTGTGCCGCGCCCGGGCCCTCGAATCCCGCCCCCCGTCCCCCGCCCCCCCCCCTCTTGCTCGCCCCCTCCTCTGCCGCAGGGCTTCGCTGGATGGTAAAAAAGTGTTTGAATTCTAATCCGTTCCGATGGAGTTCGAGGCTGGTTGCTTTTCGATGGTATTCGGTGTTTATTGCGTTCCTGTGTCATTCTTGGTGTGCTGTATTCCTTCAATATTAGAATTCTATTGCACCCCCGAATCCGAACCCGAACCCGAAACCCGTACATTTACCCTTACCCATTCGTTCTGAGGAGTCACGAAGGTGGGCTTGCGCCATACCGCCGACCCCTTGGGGAATTGGCTGAAGGCCTCTTTTGCGCCTTTTCGGGGCTTTCTTTTTTAGGGCTTCGTGGGGGCCTCTTGATGGCATGTTCGGGGCCTCTTGGGCTGACATTCTCAGCATTCGCCGTGCACGCATGGGGAATGGGGCGGACCCCTGCGAATACAGACGGCGGGCATTTGTCAAAGCACCCGACGAATGATGATCGAATGGCCTTCGGCTGATCCCGCCACCGTGCTTGGGTTGCGGGTATGAGGCCAGTCGGATGACTGATGGGGTATCATGGGAAGCGTCTCGGGGGCATCTTAGAGTCAGTTGTTCCCAACCCTCCTGCGTTGGGCACTCGTTTTGAATAGAACATTACCCGCGCGTGTTCTCCTTTCTCTTCTCCTGCCCCCCTCCTCCTCTCCTCGTTTCTTCTGCCTCTAACCTCGCTCTCTCCTGCGTGCCAGCTTGCCCCCTACCTGGCTATCCCTGGGGGGCTGCGATCTGCCAAGCTGCCGGCACTTTCGAGAGCTGCTTCTCTTTGTGAGAGAGATTGTCATTAGAATTCCTTGTGTGGCGCTTTCGCATCGCCGTTTCATCCGAGGGTGGCTCCAGCCACTGGGTCGCTTTTTGGGAGGCTTGAAGCTGCCGTCGTCATCGTTTACTTTTGGGAGCACTCTAGCAGCCGCCCGCCTTGAGGGATAGGGGTGGGCCCTGTTTGTGTAAGACCACAAGTACGGAATGACATCTGCAGCGGCCTGTGCCAATCATGCGCCTGTGGTGGCAGGGGGGTCAAGTTGACAGGCTGCGGCCTTAGATGCAACAGCAGCTCTCGCGTGACCAAGCGCAACACTCTGAAATATGCGCACATCGCGCGCGGACAGTTGCGCCCCCTTCGGGCGGCTCAGGAGGCAGTACTCTTCCAGCCGGCTTGGGGTTCATCAGCATCTGCCACGCTCGCGAAGCCACGTGTTGGTTTCCTTTTCAGAGCTTGAGTTTGGTTCGGGTCCACAGGTCTGTGTACCGTTGGCGATTCGGTTCAGTTTCGGCCAGTGTGGCCGTTGTACTCGCTCAGGTTGAATGACGGATTCGCAGTGCGTATTTCAGAGCCTGAATTACCTACCCCGCTTTCGCTTCCAGGCAAAACCAAGCCATACCACGCGCCTCCTTGTCAAGCGGCCGGACCAGTACAGGCTGCAATTTGGCATCGTTTGGTATCTCTTGGAAGCGAGGGTGGTCAAAAGCGAGGTAGGCTTGTTTTCCCCCTAGTATTGTTTTCTTCGCAGTGTTTCCACACCCGGCATTCTGGCATCGTGCCGGGTGTCTCCGGCACGATATTAGGTCTTATTGTCTGGAGTCCAGGCGCGGCGACGTTGAGCCTGTGTCTTCGTCAATCAGTTTAAAGTCAAGGGCAGAAAAAACGCCCCTACCCTGGTTTACGAGGCGCTGTGCGCTGAAACTCCTGCGGGCTAACAGGGTAAACCCTGCGTGATGTGCCGCGTCCTGGCGGCTCTGGGCTTTGGGGGTTCCCAGGAGGTTTACAGACCGCGCACTTGTAACCCAAGGTAGGGTCGTTTTTTCATCCCTCAATAAAGTGATGTTGCGGCGTCTGTGGTTGGGACCTGGGGAAGGAAGGTGAGATGGGTCAGATGTTACAGGTGTTTGGATGGAGTCATCGCTCCGTGGCGCTCGCAGGTTTCAAGCCGAGGAGCTCCGCGAGATCAGGAAGGTCAAGTCCGAGGTGGACTTCTCCCAGGCATGTCTGCAGCAATATGCCTGCCATCGGGGCTGCGCTTTCCGACAAGGGGAAGGGTTTAACGAGAGGGAGTCTTCAGGAGAAGGATGGGGTTGAAACAAAGGCGGAATTGGCTGTGGCGCCGCAGGATGATGAGGAGGAGGAGGCGGAGGAGGAGGAGGAGGCAGAGGAGGAGATGAGGCGGAGTTTGCTCTGAGCACTTGGCTGAGACACGTCAGCGGATCCTTCGGGGAGCATGTGAGATACGAAAGCTGCCACCATCGTGTCGCATGCGCAATCGGCATACAGAGGGAGAGAGGGATGGAGGGAGAGAGAGAGAGAGAGAGAGAGAAAAGATAAGGAGGATGATGAGGAGGAGGAGGAGGAGGAGGAGGGGGGCAGGGAGGGAGTGAAGGAGGCAGTCAGGGAGGAGGAGAAGGACGAGCAGGAGGATCTAGGAGGATCGAGGAGGATGAGGAGGAGCAGGAGGAGGACGAGGACGAGGACGAGGGAGGAGGAGCATGAGGGGCAGGTTCGGCGGAGGAGGAGGAGGAGGACGACGATGACGACGACTCCGACGACAACGAGGCGGATGACGACGAGGCGGACGACGACGACGACGCCGACGCCGACGACGAGGACAAGGACGAGGACGAGGACGAGGATGATGATTAGGACGAGGACTAGGACGTGGACGAGGACGTGGACGAGGACGTGGACGAGGACGAGGTCGAGGGCGGCGACGAGGACGAGGGCGACGACGAGGGCGAGGGTGAGCCTGGCGTGCCCCTCGCCGCCAGCGCCGTGACGGAGTCGTCACCAGCTGGTCCGACCAGCGCTTGCCGTGGAGTTGGCGCGCAGGGCGACCGCGCCCGCTCTCCGCGCGCGGCGACGGGCGCCTTCTGCTTCGGAGGATGCACGTGGGCGCCACCTCCATCGGGCGCATGGGCGCTCCTGCACCCAGGATCGGTGCAGCGGCCCTCCTAGCTTCTCCAGGGAACACTAATCCTTTGGAGGTCCGCACGGAGTTCTTGGATCGGCGCTGGAGCCCCCAGGCGGCGCCTCCAGCGCTGCCCCTGGCGTGCTCCGCGCGCCAGTGAGGGCGGTGCAGCGCCGATCCAAGAAATCCGCGCGGACCGCCGACATGGTATGTTCATGTAAGTTGTTGCTCCTCGATCCCAGGAGCGAGCCATCGGCCTTCCGGGCTTGGCCAGGAAACGCAGGCATCGGCCCAGGGTCGGCGAGGTGGTCGGCTGACGTCCCCAGCTCGAGTCCCGCGGCCGTGCAGCCGTCGCCGTGCCTCGGAGGCCGAGCCGCCGCTGTGCCGCGGGGGCGCCTGCGGCACAGCTCCGTGCCTCCTCCGCGGGGCCGCGCGGGGGCAGCCGTGCCCAGCGCCCCGTGGGCCTGGGCCAGAGAGCGGCCCCGACCTGGCCAGGTCGGGCGGACGGCAGCGGGGGGGCAGCAAGCGCGGGGCTTCCGACACGGCGGGCTCGACCGCGACCTGCAGCGTCGCCGCTTCGCCACCGCGCGGGCGTCGGCCGCCGGCCGTCGCCGTCCGCCCTCAGTGGCCGTGGGCGCTTCCAGCGGCCGCGGGCGGCCGGTGCGTCCGCCAGGCGCTGCCGTCGGCGGTCGTGCCCGCCGCGCAGCGCAGGGGCCTCGGCGGGGATCGAGGGTTGCAGGGGCCCTTGATGGCCCCTAGTCTGCCGCCGCAGGCCAAGGACAGTCGCGAAATATGCACGTTTCTTCACCCCCCCTTTCTGGCGCCCCAGTTACTGGGGGGTCGAGGATTGCGGGAAATTGGTCCTATAAGTGATTTGTTTGTTGTTCCTCTGGCGGGTAAGGCTTGCTACCGGACCCCCCCCCCCCTGGGTAACGCTAACGATCGTACATTTTTGGGAGAGTGGAGGGCGGACCCCCCTCCTCTCAGCAGGTATGGCGCTGTGATCACAGGCGTGGCGAGGTGCTGAAAGGCATGTGCGGTGCTTTCACATGTTGTGTGGCGTTCGCAGGTTCTCCTCCTGTTGCGGCGCCGAATTCACAGGCATGGCGTGGTGCTAAAAGGCATATTTCGGTGCTCACCTGCCTGTTGTGGCGCCTGCAGGCGATTGCACTGCGCAGACTGACGTGCTTTACGTCTACATCCCTATGTTCTCTCCTCCTGCTCTTCCCTCTGAAACTCTGGAAGCAATGGTGCCAGGGGATTTCGCAGCCATGTCTGGGTGGAGCAACGGTTTCCCCGCGTCTGTTACAATCTGTTTTAACGAAGGCGAGGCGACGTCGAACGATGCCATAATTGCAGCTGCGGTACGGTATAACATAATAACATAATCCTGCCTCCTCCCGCCTGCTCCACCGCCTACTACTGTCCTCCCCCTTCGTCGTCCTCTGCCCCTTTTTCTCCTCCTCCTCCTCCTCCTCCTCGTCCTTCTCCTCCTCCTCCTCCTCCTCCTCCTCCTCCTCCTCCTCCTCCTCCTCCTCCTCCTCCTCCTCTCCTTCTTCTTCCACTCTGGATTTCGCTGTGCGTTATTGGGATGATATATGTGGCCGTTTGGGCCGTATTGGGTTATCCGCACAGCGCCTTTGCCTTTTCGCCTCGTCCTCCCCCTCGTTCTTCTTCGTCCTCCTCGTAGGTTTTCAACCGCATTTGTGGGCCGAATTTCGTGACATTTTCGTCGCGCGCTGGCGCGCCGAGGTACGATGTGGTTCTTCGCTCTTATCTGCGAATGTGCCCCCCCCTCAAAAAAAACTCCTTCCAACCTCCCCCGCTCCCTCCCGCCCCCCTCTTCCCCCACCTCGCTCCCGAGTTTTCCCCCTCCTCCCATATCTTGTCATCTCCTCTTGGCCGTCTTGTTCGAAGCAAGCTACGGATGGTCTTGCCCAAACTTCACAGAAAGCCAACCCAGCGGCTTGCGTGCCTTCGATACTACTCTCCAAAGCGACGTCCAGATGCTCCAGACTATTGGAGTCTTCAACAGCAGCGGGGCCAACTCCCATATCCTTTCGCGTTTTCGTATTTTTCCGAGTTTCCCCCCCCACACGTCCTCCCGAGCCCGCTATCGTCGTTTCTCGTCGTTCTCGTCGTCGGCCCGATTCGGGCTCCACGACCCGCAATAACGAGCCCGCAAGAGGAGGAGACAACGTGGCGCACACAGGCGCTGTGGCGCACACGGCTGTTACAGGATTCGAAGACAGTGCGGTGCACACGGGTGACGTAGTGAGGGTTTCCGCGGCCTGCGCCCGCCCCCGCAAAACAAACAAACTACTGATGTGCCCGTTGGCCCGTTTTGCTGTGCACAGATTTGCCCGTTGGCCCGTTGGATTCAGATGTGCCTGTTGGCCCGTTGGCTACTGATGTGCCCGTTGGCCCTTGCCCGTTGTGGTGCACGGAAGCATTGTGGCGTCCGCAGGCGTTGTGGTGCACATGGTTGCTTTGGTGCAAGCAGGCGCTGCGGTGTACACGAGCTCTCTGGTGCACGTAGGCAATGTGGTGTACACAAGCGCTGTTGCGCACACGGTTGCTGCAGTATACACAGGTATTGCGGTGTACATGGGCGACGCGGTGGCGTTGTGCACGCAGTTGTTGTGGTGTACCGAAGCACGGTGGTGCACTCAGGCGGCGCTGTCTTGCACGAGTGCATTTGGCACTGTCGCGTGCGCAGGGATTGCAGCGCGCGCAGGCAATGGATGTGCCGATGGCGCGAACACACCCTGGCAGGCGCACGCCGCGGCCGCCGTTACCGTTACCCGCGGGCCCAAGCCCGTCCCGGGTAACAGCCGTTACCCGGACTATTAAAACATAAGGGGCCCTAGATGACCCTTACACTGTTGTCGTAGGCCAAACGAGGTCACGGAAGGTGCACGTTTCTTCACCCCCCGTTTCGGGCTCCCGCGTTACCGATCACCTGACCAGGGCCCGGGCGCAAGGGCACGCGGGTGGCAGCGGTTCGCGCTTTGCGCGGCGCGTAACGCAGAGTTGGGCGACCTGTGGGCGCAGGGAGGCACGATTGTTGGCGCTCGTGCCAGTGAAGTTCGCGCGTCTGGCAGCCGCCGTCTTGGCACGCCTCGCCTGCCCTGTTTTTTTCCTCGTCGTCGTCGTCCTCGTCCTCCGCCTCCTCCTCCTCTTCCTCCTGTTCCTCCTGCTCTTCCCCCAGAGGGAAGGACTGCAAGAAACGCGGAGCAATGGAGGGAGGGAATGGGATGAAGAGGACTAGCAGTTGTAGATGGTGGAGGCGCAGGATGAGGAGGAGAAACCAGTACTGTGCACTGGGCCGAGACACGTCAGTGAGCTCGATGTGGAACAGGTGCGGCTGTCAGCTGATACAAAAACGTTGCAAACGCAACTGGGAGAGAAAAACATGAATACATGGATGGAGGGAGGGAGGAAGGGAGGGAGGGATGATGAGGACGAGCAGGAGGAGGAGGAGGAGGAGGAGAAGGAGGAGGATGATGAGGAGGAAGAGGATGAGGACGAGGAGGAGGCGGAGGAGGAGGAGGAGGACGAGGAGGAGAAGGAGGAGGAGGAGGAGGAGGAAGAGGAGGAGGAGAAGAAGAAGGAAAGGGAGGAGGAGGGAGGGACGAGGAGGAGGATGGAGGAGGAGGAGGAGGAGGAGAGAGAGGAAGAGGGGGGGAGGGAGGGAAGGAGGGATTGCCAGATGGATCGTCAAAGCGTAGGAAGGCCCCTCTGGGCTTTGACCGCCTCGCCGCGAGCGCCGCCACCAACGCTGGGCTAGCCTCGCAGCGCCGGGCGGTCGGGTGGGCTTCGCAGGCTCGGCCAGCGCGGGAGGGGGGGGGAGGGGGGGGAGGAGGAGGGGAAGAGGGAGAGGGGCGGCGAGAGACTCTGGAAGGACGGGCTCCAAGTAGTTCGACCTGCAGGTGGTTGTCCAGGAGGCGGGGCACCAGGAAGTGGACCTCCAGGAGACAGCTGTTCAGGCGCGCCTCCAAGAACGGGACTCCACAGAATCCTCGGGGAGGTGGCAGTGCAGCAGAAACAAGACCCTGGGGTGGCAGCAGCCCACGAGCAGACATTCCAGGAAGCGGGATCGCAGGTATGATTCGGGGAAGCCATGCTCCGAACACACCTCACCGAGGAGGCGGGACTCCAGGGGGCGGATCTCCAGGAGTTTCAGGGAGGGTGAAGTCCAGGCCACCTCCCAGGAGGTGGAGGTCTTGGAGACGAGCGCGTAGACACGAGGTACGGCTCCTGGAAGGCAAACTGCAGCGACCTCCGTGGGAGGTCCAGCGATCGCCTTGGTTTGTAAAGGAGCGGTCTCGATCAGAGTCACAAGCGCCCCAGATAACACATGTAGACACACAGTGTCGGCTACGAGGCGGAATGAGGCCACTAAAACGCCTCTTCGGACATGGCCGTCAAACACAGGGTTGGAAGCCCTTCAACTCCAGGGTTGCCCCCAATTTGTCGGAAGCATCCTGCCGACATCCGAGGGGTGGAGCATGAGCTACTGGGCGCCGATCTTTGGGCCACCGACTCGGGCAAGGGGGGATCTGCGACTCGCCCAGCGATGCCGACGCCATGAGCCGGGGATGTCGAGAAATATCCCCGCCATACGGCCCCCCACGTGGACGACCCGGGAGAGTAACAGCCGCAGGGGGCAGAGGAGGGAACGACATCCGGGGACCAGGACGAACCCAGGGCCAGGGGGAAGAGGAGGGCGAGCGCCAGGGAACTACCGCGACGATGGGGACCCTGGAGGCTTTCGTAGGCGCGACCCGGGCTGGGTTCAGCGCGGGTCTGGGAGGTAGGGCCGCTCCCGCGTCACGGAAAGCGGGCGACCCGCCTCGCGAAGGTTTGGCGGCCGCAGCCAGATGCGCCACAAGGGCGCTTTCGCCACGACTAGAACCGTCGGCCGCCCGCTGCCCCTCGGCGGCTAGCACGGGTCGAGGAACGGAGACGTTGACGGGAGACGCCGCCAGGGCGTCGGCGCCAGCGCCAGATCCCTCGCGCGATTGTTGCCCGCAGCGACGGCGTCCAAGCTTGAAGGGGCGGAGGCGGAGGAGGAGGAGGAGCAGGAGGAGGAGATGGAGGAGGAGGAGCAGGAGGAGGAGAAATACGGGGAGGAGGAGGGCTGTAGCCGCGGCAGGTCGGGTGGGGAGCGAATCATTTTACCTGCGCGCGGCATGCGCCAGCGCCGCGCAGAAACAACAAAGAACAGGTAGCGGACCTTCGCCGCGAGCTCTCCGAAGGTGCTTGTGTCGGCGAGCACCCACTCTGCCAGCCCCGGCGGCGGCGCCCATTCCGCCAGCAGGGCGGCGCGGAGCGCATCGGGTCCCGAGCACTGGCACAGCAAGTGGTGGAGCCCAGTCGGCTCGCGCCCGCACAAGGCGCACGCGGTCTGAGGCGGGCCGCCCCCATTCCCCAGATGACAATCGGCAGCTCGGACGTGACGCGCGCCACGCTACGCACCAGGCGTGGTAGAACCTCCAATCGGTCTGGCCCCAGGAGGCTCAACGGAGTTCGTCCAGCCAGGCCTGCCGCAGGGGGAGGACAGCCTCGATCGGCAGCAGCCCCGTGTCGCTGAGCCTTGCCAACTACTCGCAAAGCCAAGCCTGCTCCGCTTCTGGCACCTGCGGGATGACGCAGGACCGTTCCCAACGCCGCACCTCCCTGCGGCGGGCGGCGGGTCCCTCCGCCGCCGCTGTTTTCAGCTCGCCGGGCGGCGGCCCCACCCCGAAGCTCCAGGCCACCGCGGCCGCGTCCTGAAGCCGCGGGCCAGCGCCGCCTGGACCGCAGGCGCGACGTGCGAGCCTTCCCGGATCGCCAGCATCCAAGCCCACGCTAGACCGATGTGCTGGGCGCCTTTGGCGGCCACGCGCGTCAGCAGCCGCGTCTCCAGGAAGACGCGGCGATCATGGGCAGGCCGAGCCCGTCGTCCGAGACGGCCGGCGGCCGTGTCAGTCGTCGCGCGCCGTCCCGGAAGATGGCGCAGGTGCGTGGCAGAAGCGGGCCCAAGGAGTTCAGTTTCCACTGGGATGCCCAGGACTTCGAGCTGGCTGACAGCGCGGGCCCCGACGCCCCCGCTGGTGCTGCACATGCTTGGGTTCACGGCCGGCCGGTCCACCGCCACTGCAGCGGGGCCTTCGCTGCCGCCCTGGTAGCGATGGCGACAGGCGGCGCCGAACGCGCCCAAGATGGCTTTGGGCTGGCTCAAGCCAGCTTCGTTGGGCTGTGTGAATTATTGCAGTAGCGGCAGGGAGGGGCGGGAGGGCGCTCGCCAGTGCGCTCTCCGCGGGCGGGAGCGGCTGGGCGGCGGCCTTGCAGGCGTGAGCGAGAGCGCGGACCAGCGCGCTGCACACGTGGGCGCCAGGGCGCCGGCCTTGCCCCACCCCGTAGTCAAGGAGCGTGGCGATCTGGCCCACGAGGGGGCCCACGCGTACCCGCCAACGCTCCTCGCTGTGGGCGGCCGCCGCCGCGAGCCACCATCGCACGCGCACTGCACAAGCACGCCGCCGCGGCAGGCTTCGTCGAACCCATGCAACAGGTCCGCTCTCTGAACCACTGTGCGACGCCCCGGCCCTCGCCGCACCTAGAGCGCGACGAGCAACCCGGCCGCCATGAGCGTCGCATCGTAGCGCCCCCCTGCCTGTGTGGAGCTGGCGACCTGCTCCAGCAACGGGCGGGCTGCGGCCGAGCAGCCGGCATCCAGGAATCCTTCAAGGTTCCCAGAGTAGCTCATATGGGATGGGGGTCGGCTGGGTCGCCGACGACTGGCGGCCCCCGTTTGCGCAGAGGCCAGACACCAGCGTCAAGTTGACAACGGCCCAGGTCACCAAGCGGTTTGGCGCCTGCGCTGCCTTGAACGCGGCGCGCGGCAAGTGGAGCGCTTTGCGAGAGGAGCGGGCCTGCCAGACGATCTCCGCTGCCAGCTCCGGGGACAAGGGGTCGCCGAGTTCCCCCTTCGTCTCGCGGAGCGCTGCGGCCTGGGTTGCCCAGACCTCAGTGCGAACCTGCGCGGCGAATGGCGCCACCCCCGGACCTGCCGCCGCGCCCTCGCCGACGGCCGAGGATGGATGCAGTCGCCACCTCGATCGCTTCGGCGGGGCCGAGCCGCATGCCCGAATCCGGATCCCGACAGCAGAGAGCGGGCCGGAGCCGCCGTAGGCCTCCGACGCGGTGAACTTGGACTTGTCTCCGCGGCCTCCACGGGAGCCACGGCGGCTGCGGCTGTGCCCGCGCTACGGGGCGCCATCGCTTGCTGTCTTGCACCGCTGGTCGCTGCTTCGGCTCTGGGAGCGCTCGCGCGGAGGGGGAAGAGCTGGGTGGAGGCCACCACACCGCGAGATTATCGTCATGTCCCAGAAAAGGGAGGGGAGAGGGGGGAAAACCAACAACAGCAGCAGCAAGCACGGTCACCTTCATGCTCACGCCTTGTAGGCACAGGGAGGGAGGAGGTGGAGGAGGAGCATGGAGGGAGGGCATGCCTTGAGGTCATCAGCGCGATCAACATGCCGCTGCTAGACGTCTCGAAGGTCCTTCCGCTCCCCGCTCTCTGGCCGAAGGGCCCGAAAGATCGGCACGTGCCCGTGTTCGGACGGTCGGGCCCGCAATCTCGCCTATGGTTGAAACGTTTGTCTAGTGGCCCTCAGCCGTTCCTGCCACCGTGCCTGTGGCGTGGCCGAGTGGCCTGTCAGAGGCTTCCCGGGGCCACTTTGGTAGGCATCTCGGGATGCCTCTGGGGGGGGACTTTGGGGGACCTTGTGGAGATCGAAGGTGAGGGGGGTGAGACCGAAGTGGAACTGAGGGCCCCCGACAGGGAAATCGGCCTGGGTTTGGGGTTCGCGTCGTGCGTGCGTGGGTGGGCGAGGCGAGGCGAAGCTGCGTGGGCGAGAGGAATGAACCCACCTCTGGCTAGGGCGCGGCGATGACAGAAGTCCGGCACCCCCCCCCCCGGCCGCGTGGCGGGCGGGTGCCAGGGCGTCCCGCCGTGGTGTCCCGATAGTGTTCCGTGGTGTCCCGAGGTGTCCCGCGGTGTCTCGATTGTTGTCCCGATGGTGTCTTGGTGGTGTGTCAATGGTGTCCCGCGGTGTCCCGCCGTGGTGTCCCGACTATGTCCCGATTGTGTCCCGTGGTGTTCCGCGGTGTCCCGTGATGGTGTCCCGTTCTGTGGTTTCCAGTGGTGTCCCGACGTGCCCGTTGTGTCCCGCGGTGTCCCGCAGTGTCCCGTGGAGTCCCGTGGAGTCCCGTGAGATCGATAGTGAGTTCGAGAACGAGATCGATAGTGAGATACATAGTGAGATGCATAGTGAGATCGATAGTGAGATCAATAGTGAGGTCGATAGCGGGAGCAATAGTGAGATCGGGATTTCGATCGATAGTGAGATCGATCGTGAAATCTGCAGTTTGATCGACATTGTAGTAAGATCGGGCGTGAGGTCGATTGTGAGGTCGATTAAGAGATCGATAGTGAGATCGATACTGCAATCGATTGTGAGAGGGATCGTGAGAGCGATAGTGAGATCGTGAGATCGATTGTGAGGCCGATTGTGAGGCCGATTGTGAGATCGACAGTGAGGTCGACCGTAAGATCGGCAGTGAGGTCAAGATTCAGATCGGTTGAGTGGGGTGGGACATTGGTTCCTCCCCCCGAACCTCCTTCTCACCCGAAGGGTGGTCGTATAGGTACGTCATATGTTTGGGGACCTCTTCGGGGCTTCCTCTGGGGGCCACCTGGTGGTCTCGGGGGCCATCGTTGGGGAGGTGGCGTTATCGTTGGTCGTTGAGATTAGGTGCGTTGGAATGCCAGGTGCTGCTGCACTTCACGCGCCTTCCTGCTTGCATGGTCGAAGAGTGCCCCTTGTTTTGTTATTCCTATCTCGGCGGCGGGCGGGGCTGGGCCCCAACCTAGGTTGAGCGATGCTTAGCGTAATGGTTCTGTCTGCTTCGTTCGACCGACGTGTGATGAACGGCTGTGCTCGGTGGAGGTTGGGATAGAGCAGAGTGGACCCAACATTGAAGCTGGTTTCTGTTTGGGTTCGTTCGCGGTCTGGGCGGGCGCTAATTGGAGGGGGTGCCTGGGGTACACCATGGAGGGGCGGGTCGCATGCAGCCCCGGTCCCGAGGTTTTGATATTGTACAGCGTCTTCTATTTGGAATAACGAGTGTATGGACGCGGTGAAACAAGTGGACGCATGTTGGGCTGGATGCGCCAGGGGTCTTCGCTACTGTTTCGCAGGAAGCGACGCTCACAAGAAAGCAAGGACCCGACACACAGGGACCGCTGCGAGCGCGGTGGTGGATATTGCAGAGGACGGAGAGGAGTGGAGGAGGATGTTGTTGAAGAGGAGAAGGTAGAGGAGGAGATGTGGAGACGATGAGAAGAAGGGTTGGGAGGTGGGTGAGTGGAGGGGAGCACTGCAGGCGGACGAGCGCGAGAAGTCAATTGAGGTGGTGGATGATGAGGACGTGGAGGTGGACGAGGGCGAGCATATGGATGAGGTGGGGGAGGACGAGGAGGTGGAGGTGGTCGGGCCCGAGCGCCGCAAACACAGCGCCATCACTCCAGAGCCTCCAGGCGGACCCTCCCGTCCAGGAGTTTTGTTGTGCCCCTCTGACCGAGTGCCCGCAAGACCGCTCGAGGAGGGTCAGGATACGGACTTTGTTTGCTCGATGGCTTGCCGGCGTGCGTGTTAGCGCATTCGCATGCTTGCTTGCAGGCAACCCTTGGCGCCTGCATGCGTCCTGTACTGTATGGTTCTATGGGCCAGATTAAGGGTTCGCTTCTGCTCGGGTGCAGGTTTGCTTGCTGGCTTATCCGCTTGCTCCGAGTTTGGACTTACGATTTGCGGGACTCCCTCCTCATCCTCTTCCTCCTTGTCCTCCTGCCCCTACTCCTTCCCCTCCTTTTCCTCCCTTCTCCTCAGTCTTCCTCCTCGCGCCGGAGAGTTAGAGAGGGAAAGCAGGGAAGAGGAGAAATACGAGAAGGAGGGACGGTGGAGAGGATCCGGAGGGCGGGAAGTTGAAGGAGGAGGAGGAGGAGGAGGAGGAGTCCTTCCACCGCCCTCCTCCGTCACCTCCTCCTCCCCCTCCTCTTCCCGCCTCTTCCCTCCATTTCCCGCTGCGTTGGTGCCTGCGCCCGCAAGACCGCTCGAGGAGGATCAGGATACGGATTTCGTTTGCTCGACGGCTTGCCGCTGTGCTTGTTTGCGCTTTCGCATGCTTGCTTGTAGGCAGCCCTTGGCGCCTGCATGCGTCATTGATGGCTCGATCAGGATGGCGGGGAGCTGGGGGACGAGGAGGATGAGTCCTTCCACCGCCCTCCTCCGTCACCTCCTCCCCCCCCTCCTCTTCCCGCCTCTTCCCTCCGTTTCCCGCACACTGCCGGCGCATTGATGCGTTAATGTGGTGAGACCGTTAAGGTCCAACAAATCCCCATCTCCTCCCTCCTCCTCCTCCTCCTCCTCCTCCTCCTCCTCCTCCTCCTCCTCCTCCCTTCAGACCTTCAGATGTTGGTTATGATGTCCATCCGACGCAGCCATCCCCCACCCCCAGGGGGATTTGCCCCGATCGACAGACCCCTCCCAGGGGAGGGATTGGTAAGTCCCCCTCACCCTGGAGGAGGGGAGGGAGGGGAGGAGGGAGGGGTGGGGGTGGCATCACATATCGGTGACAGGAGTGGTATAGAGGTGATCGGGCGTGGCTGGGGTCGCTCTCGCACAAGCAAATGTTGGCGGCACTGGTACGGTGGCGCGGCGTTACACTGGCGGGAGACAGGCTGGGGAGGTAGGAGGTAGAGAGGCTACGTGCTTCTGCGCAAGCAGTGGCGAAGCGGTGAGCGCGCGCAGCTGGGGCCACACTCGCCCAAGTCTGGATGGCGCAGGTGCCTCTCCTCTCACCCCTGGGGGATCCCAAGCGGGACGACCCCCAGTCGAGGCCAGGTAACCCTCACCCGCTGAGGCAGGCGAAGGGTTACCACGGGTGCGACTGCGTGCCACCCGGGGATCCCCACCAGGTAAGCTGAGGCTGGCGCCATCCCACGGCGGTGGCCCCGAGATGACAGTGTAGCTTCCATCCACCCCCGATTGCCCCCCCCCCCCCCTACATTGCAAGTGCTGTGAGTGACGGCTAGCACTGAGGTGGCAGGTGAAAGGTGTGGCGGTAAGATAGCAGTAAAGAGAGAAGAACAGACGCAAGCTGCAGCAGTGTACAAGAGACAGACTGCGGCCTGGTTGTCCCAGCTTTCGGAGAGGCATGGCAGCCTGTCTTGCACATAACGTTGTACACAACTGTACAGTGGCGGCCTGTTGGTGGCCTTGTCTGCCTAAAGCTGTTGGCTGGAACGACCTAGCAATCGCCAGGGTATCTGCGCTGAGTTGTCACTTAATCTCGCAGGCAAGAGGTTGACTGGGTGCGGCGAGGGCAGGAGCGAGGAAAAGCGACAAGCGTTCGTGGAGGTGAGTGGGAGACTGTTCTCCATCGCTGGGTTGGTGCCTGCGCCCGCAAGACCGCTCGAGGAGGATCAGGATACGGATTTCGTTTGCTCGACGGCTTGCCGCTGTGCTTGTTTGCGTTTTCGCATGCTTGCTTGTAGGTAGCCCTTGGCGCCTGCATGCGTCATTGATGGCTCGATCAGGATGGCGGGGAGCTGGAGGACGAGGAGGATGAGTCCTTCCACCGCCTTCCTCCGTCACCTCCTCCCCCCCTCCTCTTCCCGCCTCTTCCCTCCAATTCCCGCACACTGCCGGCGCATTGATGCATGATTGTGGTGATACCGTTGAGGCAAAACAAATCCCCATCCTTTCCCCTCCCGCCTCCCCCCCCTCCCTCCTCTCCCCTCCTCATTTTCCTCCTCTTCATCCTTCTCCTTTCCCTCCTCCTCCTGCTCCTCCTCCTCCTCCTCCTCGTCCTCCTCATCCTCCTCCTCCTCCTCCTCCCCCTCCCAATGAGAGCGGCGCCCACGACGACGTTGACGCCGAATGCGACACCGACGACGACAACGGTGCCGACGACGACGACGCCGACGGTGCCGACGACGACGGAACCGACGACGCCGACGTGGGTCACCGCGGCGGCGGAAAAGGTGCTTCGAGAACTGCGCGCCGGGCGCGACGCGGAGCGGCAGGAGCCGCGCCCTGGGCGGGGGAGGAGGCCGTGCCTCAACGCCCAGGGATGCTCGGGAGCGGCCAAAGGATTTTTGGGATGTTCGGGACGCTTCGGGATGTTGGGGACGTTCGGGACGCTTTCCAGCCTCGGGAAGGCGTCCCGGGCGGCTGCGCCCCGACGGGGGCGTTCCCGGGGTGCTGGGCTCGTCCCGAACGGCCGCTGGAGGCCCGAGTAAGCAGCAGGGGATATGGGGGAGGCCCCTCACGGTGGCGGGGGGAGGATCGGGAGCGGCCAGGAGGGGGTTGACGACCAGGGGGGTGGATATCATGGCCGGCCATGCAGTCTCCCTGGATTTCGTGGCCCCCTCTTTTCATTTCACTGCGTCCCTTGGTCCACCCATTCGTCCGCGCACCATGATTCGCGACCCCCCCTCTTGGGCGCCCCCCTCTTGGACGCGCCCGAGGGATGTTGACTGTTTTTTCCCACTCGACCACAATTAGGCAGCCTGCAGGAGAGAGGTCGTACCTGTGCCATCCCAGCCCTCCTCCTCCTCCTCCTCCTCCTCCTCCTCCTCCTCCTCCTCCTCCTCCCTCCTCCTCCTCTCCTCTCCCCTCCTCCCCCTCCTCCCCTCCCCCCTCCCCCTCCCCCCCCCTTCCCCTCCCCCTCTTCTTCTCCCATCACTCCTCCCCCTCCTTCCTCCTCCTCCTCCTCCTCCTCCTCCTCCTCCTCCTCCTCCTCCTCTCCTCCTCTTTCTCCTCTTTCTCCTCCCCCTCCTCGCCCCCGCCCTCCCCACGCCCCAGCGCCTTCCCCCCCGCTCTCTCCGCACCGCGCTCCGCGCGGGCAGGCTGGCGTGGACGTGCTCCCCGTGCTGCAGGAGATCCGCTCCTGCCAGGCGCGGAGTGCGCGTGTGGAGGGGGGGGGGGGGGCAGGGGTGGCGGCGCGGCGGCGGCGGCGGCAACGACAACCACGACGCGGGGGAGGAGGAGGAGGAGGAGGAGGAGGAGGAGGAGGAGGAGGAGGAGGAGGAGGAGGAGGGAGATGAGGAGGAGGAGGAGGAGGAGGAGGAGAAGAAGGAGGAGGACGAGGAGGAGGATTAGGAGGAGGAGTAGGAGGAGGAGGCGTGGGAGGAGGAGGAGGAGGAGGAGGAGGAGGACGACCAGTGTAAACCCAAGACTCATCAACGATGTTGGAATGAACCCTCCCCCAAGCTTCCTGTTCATATGCCCCACCGGGATGCATTTCCACTGAGGGAAATGCCCCGTTGGGAGACGACCGCGCTTGAAGATCCTGAGGCGTGATCGCAACTTCAACGCCGCTCATTATCCTGACTGACTGTTGCTTTTTGGCGATCCTGAACCGTGCCAGAGCACCATTTTTGGGACTAGAACACCGCGAACCAACGCAACTGCTACGCCCTGACAATCGTGAGTCGCTCCAGAAGACCGCTTTTGATTGTAACAATGGGCATGTGTGAAACTCTTGCAATATTTGTAGAACACATGTTGGAAAGGAACTGCCATCACTCCGTGACATTATTGCAACTTGTTACGGCGAGTGTGCGTGGCGCTCAGGAGAGACACATGTTGAAAACGGCCCGCCCTCAATCCGTAACAATCTTGCACACATTCAAAATGAATGTGCGCGGCGCCAATGCAGCGAGAGCCACATTCTGAAAACCGACCGCCTTCCATCGGTGGAACTCTTATGTACAGTTTTTATGACGAATGTGCGCGACGCTAAGGCGAGAGCCCCATTTTGAAAACCACCCGCCCTCCATCTGCGAAGCTATTCCAAATGTTTCAGCTTCAGGGCCATATGTGGTCTGCAAGTCTCAGTCGAAAACGCCAGGCCCGCCCTTTCGATTAGCCTTTGGGTGCGACAGAGCCAGAGGAGCCAAACGCCGTCCGGCTCGTAGGCGGAATATGGCAGCAGGCTTTGCTTGCAGCTGGCAGTAATGAGTTTAACGTGAGCATCGATTACGAATTTCGCAGAGAAATGGCGCCAGCTGCGTTCGTCGCCAATGCAGTTCCGCATGGCGACTTCAGAGGTGAAGCGCGGGGCGATTTTTTCGTATAAACATTTCGCCCATTCGTGCCTAGGTCGCCCCCGAGCTCTCCCACTGGCGGGTCGCAGGCTGCCAGTCTCGAAGGTCAGCGCGCGGAGCACGTCACCGTCGTCAGTTCTGCCAACCTTCAGTAACCAGAGCAGCTGGTGTCGCAAGAGCTGAGATGTGTAGATGAGCTGTCCGGCCTGCTCGAGCACTGTCTTGTTAGACACCCTCGAGACATGTGCATGTGGTAGATGAAGAATACGACGCAGGTAGCGAGCTTGAAATCCATCGAGTCTTCTTCTTTCCGCCTTGTTTAACCAAGCTGTGTTCAAGGAATATATAATCTCTGCAGCAGCGAAGGATTGGAATACTTCCAGCTCCCTGGCAGTGGTGATAGATGAATGCTTCCAGGTGCGTTCAAAATCCGAACATACGCCCCATGCTATGCCAAGTCTGTTGGTAAGTTCTCCTCCAAGCTTGCCTGTGCTGTACAGTGTGGCTCCTACATACTTCGTACTCTTTCGCTGCGATGGAGGCGCCTCCAGGGGCGACCAATGGAATGTCGCATTTCACGCACATCAGCTGAAACTTGTCCCAATGCAGGTCCATCCCGAACATTTTTCTGGCGTCCGCCACAGCCTCCAGAAGCAGTTGTAAATAGTGTTTAGATGTGCCCACCAGCAGCGTGTCGTCAGCATACAGCAGTATTGAAACTTGCCCTTCGTCCACGGCTTCGCGCGCGTCTGCGGGCAACTTGTTCCTGGCCTCTCGGATAACCACAGACATCATAACGAACAGGAAGGGTGACAAAAGGCAACCCAGTGAGATTCCGGATTCTGGTGGTCGCGATTGGGACGTGCGTCGCCTGTCCGCTACGCAGAAGTACCTGTTCTCGTATATTGTACCAATCATGTGCAGCATGGATTCTGGGACACCGAAAGCGCGAAGTGCATTAAGCATGGCGCCAGCATGTATTGAATCAAACGCCTTCTCCCAATCTAGTGCCACCATTGCTGTTTTGTTCGTCCCCTTTCTGCGTGTGCTAAATCGACGTGTCTCCGTACTGTAGTTGTCGCATTCGTCGATGGGCCCCTTGTTCTTGTAGATCGTGCTGATAATTGCACGCTGCCACTCGCTTGGTACCGACTCCTCCCTCCAGCACTTGTTCACCAGATCTGTGATACACTCTAGTCCCCCTGGCGTGTCTGCAAGTGCTTTCCAATACTCTGCTGGGACGTCGTCGGGGCCCGCGGCTTTGCCACGCGTGAGTTTTCGCACTGCTGCCTCGGCTTGATGCTGCGCGAAGGCCGCCTCCGGTACCGGCAGAGAGGCGCCGAAGGGCTCCAAGAGGAACAACACCTGCAGGGCGAACGTGCCGTTGAACTTTTTCAAGATGCTCCGCCATGGTATCTGCCCGGCAGCTGCTGTCCACGAGGTTGCCCTCCAAGTCCTTCAATCTTCGGGGGCGGCAAAGAGGGGGGTGATGACTAGGGGGGGTGGATATCATGGCAGGGGGCATGATATTTCCCCAGGTTTCATGGCGCCTCTTCTTATTTCATTACGTCCCTGGCCCCCCCGCTGGGCCGCGCACACGCCGCCGGGCATGATTTGCACCCCCTCCTCTTGGACACCCCCCTCGTGGCCGCTCCCGAAATCTGCCTTGCTTCCGGGCGCGAGGCCGGAAGGCTCGCCTCAGGGAGGCCCAATCCCCAGCAGCAATGTGGTCATTCATCCACATGGTCTTGTCGTGCCTCGCTGCCTTACGAATCTGCTTCAACAAGTCTTTGACTGCAAAGTGGTTGTTTTCAAGCCTCGCTTGGGCACGAAGTTCGATCAGGTCCAGCGTGCGCTTGGAGATCCATGCTTTTTTTCACGTGCTCCTCCAAAAGGGTAGTACTTGTCTCGCTTGTGCAATACCAGCCTTGGCGTCGTCCCACATACTCTGCACTCTAAGCTGAAGGCTCACGGCCGCAAGAAAGGCTTCCGAAAATGCTTGACCAACAAGTTCGTCCGACAGGGAACGGACGTCGAAACATTGGTGCGCCTTGCGCGACTCAGCGTCAAAGTTGACAGCGATGGAACACGTGACAAAAAAGTGATCTGTTGCGAGAGCGGGTTCACGATGATTTCCAATCCAATTGATGGCATCAAGCTGAACAGCCTCACGCAAGACGATATCCAAAATGTTGAACGTATTTTCGGTGATGTCGTCCATGGGTCGGACCCCCGCCTCCATGAAGGTCACATTCTTGCGCAGCTCTTGATTGAAAAATGTGTGAACGATCTTCAAAGAGGACCCAGTGCAGAACTCGAGCATGGGATCTCGATTTGGCACTTCCACTTGGTGCACTGGTCGCTGGCCCTACCCATGCTGGCCTAGAGCATCTTCTCCGGCGTCCGCCGTACCGATCCTCGCGTTGAAATCGCCGAATGAGATCTTCCCTTTGTTAGAGTGGGACGCCGTGTACTCAGAGTCAAGCTTCGCATAGAAGACCCATGATGTCCCGCTTGTCTGTGCCATGGCTGTGCCCAGGGAGAGGTGCGTAACCTGGTGCAGGTGCCCGGAGACAAGAAACGTCACGTTCGAGCTCTGCGAGTTTCGCCTGCATGACCATGTCCATGGATGCTCCAGATGCCGATCTTGCTGACGCCGGCCGGGAATAATATTTTGTTTTAAGCAGTCCCACTCGTTTTGTTAATGCGTCGATCTCGGTCTTAAGGGGGTTTATGGTGTCGCTAAAATGTGTACGTGATAATCCGTGCGTTTTGATAGCCTGGATGTCGTTCCTGATGGGATCGAGGTGGTGGTTCAAATTCGTCTCAAAGCCTTTGGCGGTCAGGGGCTTGTCCGCGGCTGCGTCCATGTACTCTTGGAACTGTTGTTGACGCATTGCTAGTGCCTCAGGTTCTGCCGCCATGGGCTGTGGCTCCTGCGGCGGGCTGCTCCCCGTCCTGGCTTGCTCAAGCGCACTTTTCATTGGAGTCCCCATCTGATGCTTTTTCCGCCGGCAGTTTCGCAGAATCGCCAGCACCCAGAAACAATCAAAGTCTGTGGTCTGTGAAGTAATAGGAAGCGGCTGTATGAATAAGCGGATGTAGGAGCAAGCTGGCCCGAAGTCGGTTTGAACCAAAATGGTTCTTGAGCCAAAATGGTTCTTGGGGTGCGACAAGGAGGAGTTACTTACGAGAAACAGAAGTTGGGGATGATGAGGAGGAGGAGGAAGAGGAGGAGGAGGAGGAGGAGGAGGAGGAAGAGGCTGTGGAGGAGGAAGAGGAGGAGGAGGAGGAGGAGGAGGAGGAGGAGGAGGAGGAGGAGCACGAGGACGAGGACGAGGACGAGGACGAGGACGAGGACGAGGAGGAGGAGGAGGAGGCGGGGAGGAGGAGGAGGAGGAGGAGCAGGAAGAGGAGGAGGAGGAGGAGGACTAGACCAGACTCAGCTTTGCGCTGTGGGTCTGAAGATCCTCACCCCCTCGAGCAGTGACACCTTCACAGGGCGCTCGGGGGAACCTCTGACAGGGCGTGGCTCACGGCTAAAAGCTACGAGGTCAGGGCAAAACGCACCGTACAGCCCTGAACTCCACCGAAGTTTGGGGACGGGTCGCAAAGAACGAGAGCCTGCGGGCGGGGGGCGAACAAAAACCCTCGGGCCCCACCGGGGCCGAAGCCTGCGGTGCTGGGTGCACCAGGCAGGCCCCCGGAGCGCCCGAAGACCCCAAATTCGGGCCGACCCTGCCACGGGGAAGCAGAGCAGCGTTGGTGACGCGGGACGAGAGGTTCAGTATTCGCTGGCGGGAGGAGGAGGAGGAGGAGGAGGAGGAGGAGGAGGAGGAGGCGGGAGCCGCCGACGGGCTTCCGAAGGCCCTCCCAATGGCCCCAGGAAGGCTTCCGACGGGCTCCAGAAGGCTTCCAAAAGGAGCCCGAAGGGCGCCGAAGGCCTTTGAGGGCCTCGGAGGGCCCCCGGAAGCCTTCGGAGAGACTCTGAAGGCGCTCGCGCGCGTCCGATCGATCTTCCCCGGCAGCCTCCAGCCTCGTGGCAGCCTCTGGCAGGCCGCCAGCGGGGGCTTCTTCGCCGCCGTGCTGGCGGAGCTGAAGAAGGTCCAGGCCGAGGCCGCCTGGGCGGAGTGTCGTCGGCGCGTCGGGCGCTGGCTGCGCGTCGTGGGCGCCGCCGTCGTCGAAGTCGTTGGCGTCGTCGTCGTCGCCGCCGACGTCGCAGGCGCCGCTGTGGACGTCGGCGGCCCGTCCACGTCTTCCTTGGGGCGTCGGCATGTCGGGGCCTGGTGCCGTCGAACAACGGAATCGCTCTTGCAGGGCCTCAAGATGGCCCTGAGGAGCTTTCCGGAAAAGGCGGTTTCGCCAGGGACATCCTCCGAATTTTTCCCTGGCATCCTATGAGAATTCTAGACGCTTCGCGTATCCCCACCAGCCCATCCAGAAATGACGCCCAGGCGAGTAGAGGGTCGTCCTGAGGGGCTTTTCGGCGTCTTGGGTGCCTCGGGGGGGCCTCTTTGGGCCGCTTGGGATCCTCTTGGGGGCCTCCTGGGGGCCTCTTGGGGCCTCTGGGGGCCATCTTGGGGCCTCTTGGGGCCTCCCGGGCGCTTCTTGGGGCCATCTTGGAGGACATCGATCAAAGAAGAGGGGAGCTTCAATTAGGGTTGCCCCCTCAGGAGGCCAAAATGGGGCCAAAACCCTAGTTACATCAATGATTTTGGCTTCCTCGCCGAGGCCGTTTTGGACGCCCTGACACCTCCCCGCCCCTCCCGTCCAGGTCCACGGGGAGAGGGTAGGGGGAGGGGTAAACCCCTCCCCGAAGGGGAAGAGGGAGGGGTGGAAGAGGAAACGCCCTAAACCACCGACGCCCAGAGGGCTGGTGGGATTTTTGTTGGTTGGCTGATGCCCACAGAGCCCCCCAACCGGGTTCCAAGATGTCCCAAAGAGCGGGTCCGGGATGCGAAGGTGGTCCCTGGGAAGGGGTTGGGAGGCCGTTGGGGCCGTCTCGAGGCTCGTCTGTGCCCCCTCTCTTGCCACCTTGAGGCGTCGGAGGCCCTTCCGAAGCGAAGAGGTGGGCAAGCATCGGCAACCCTCACGTTTTTTCCCGGGTCGCAGATCGCTACATGGATCCACATAGGAAGAACCCCAGAGTTGCCCATGCAGACGGCCACCTTGAGGGGCCCAGTCCCCCGTAGCCAGGTCTGGTCGTGGCCTTCGCCCGCTCGAGAGTGGTGCGCCCCAGGTCCAGGCAGTGGGGCGCCCCGTGGCCATGCCAGGCGTATCTCGCGCGTGCCCTCTCGAGGATGGTGGTGCATGCCTTCGTTTCCCTGTAGCCTCCTCTAGGGATGTACTCCTCCTGGACCCTCTTCGTCTTCACTGAACCTTTTCCTTTTTCGGGGTGCATGTATACACATGTGTTTTCCCACTCCTCCTGGAGCCTCCTTCTTGAACATCCTCCTCGTCTTCATCCTGTTTCACCTCCTCCCGGAGCATCCTCTTTTGCCTCTTGCACCATTCTCTACCTGGAGCGTCCTCTTCCCTCATTGAGGACATCGGAGCCGCTTCCGTATGCCGAAGCCCGGGCATCCGACGAAGTGGTTTTGCCAAGAAGTTCCGACTCCTCCCCCGAGGATAGTTCGTCCCAGATCCCTCCTTAATGGCGCCAGGGGCCTGATGGCAGGCCTCAAAGTTCATGCGGAATAAGTGCGCACGGGGTGCTCGGTCTGCGTCTGCGCTTACCCGTCTGGACTTAGCCTTTCCAGAGGCCGAAATCGAGGAAAACCATTGGGCTTGGCAACGTCACATCGTCGGAGATCTCGGAACCCAAGCCTGCCCCCCATCCCGTCGCCGCCGCCGCCGCCGTCGTCGTCGCTGTGGTGGTGGTGGTGGTGGTGGTGGTGGTGGTGGTGGTGGTGGTGGTGGTGGTGGTGGTAGTCGTCGTCGTCGGCGTCGTCGTTGTCGTTGTCGTCGTCGTCGCCGCCGCCGCCGCTGGCCGCCGCGGACGGCCGCCGCGCGCGCGGGGGCGCCCCTGTCCCTCGCAGGCCGTCGTCGCCGCCGCCCTCCGCTCGTCGCCGCCGCCGCCGCCGCCGCCGGCGCGCCCCAGACAGGCGAGACAGGGCAACCGTGCCCTGCGACGGGAATCTTTCTAATGCAGTTCGCTCGCACAGAATCCACAGATTCAAGCAATGTGGATCTTTTGTTTTCCCCGAAGTCGATGGATGAAAAAAGCCTGCAGGTCCGCAGCACGCTGGGCGGCGTGGCGGGCACGCCGCGGGCGCGGGCGGCGCGGGCGCCCTCGCGGCCGCCGGGCGCGCGGCAGGCGGCCGCGCGCGCCGCACCTGCGCAGCCGCCGCGCTGCCGCCGATCGCGGGTCGTCGGCCCTTTCCCTTGGCATCGTTCGGACGTATGCATTTTTCCTTCGGCGAGGACCATCGAGGAGCATCCTTGTTCATTTGGCGAAAAAACCATGCACGAAACCGAAAAAAAAACACAGGGAATGGACGTCCGAGCCATGGCCAGTTCCGCTCTCTGGAGGACCCAAATGGGTAAGGAAAACGTGGATGCAAAGGTTATTATCGGTTGGGTACGGGCGAATGGGTAGGGAAGGACTGGGGGGGGAAGAATTAGACAGGGTATGGGATAATGGGTACAGAAAGAATGGGTCCATTTTGAGCCTGACTCCTTGTCGGCCTCGTCGCGGACGTTATCCTTTACAAGAAGGCGGTTGCGCAACAGCCGCCGTTCGTTTGCGCAACAGCCGCCGTTGTCGGTTTTGGATACGGCTTGCGCTGTTGGGCATCGTACCCATTTTTTCCGTACACATTGCGGGCGTGCCAATTCTCTCCTCCCCGTTCCGAGTTTTTCCGTAGGTCGTATTTTTGGCCGCCTGGGTTGCGTGGAATATTGATATTCGCATGCGGCGTGCTCGCTTCCCTCTGTCTCCTCCTGTTGCTGCTGCTCCTCCTCCCTCCTTGTTTGCACCGTGGGGATCGCTCGTCTACGGCCTGTAGAGAGCTGCGTTGCTTTGCGTGGCACGTCTTGCTCCCAGGCTTCGGCCCCGGTGCATCCTCCACGGCCTTTTGCTCTCTCAGATGGCTCGTTGTCTTCGTCCGCCGTCCTGCGTCGTCCTGTCGGTGCGTCTTCCGGTGCTTCGTCCTCGGGCTGTCGCCCGGTGCGTCGCCCCCGGCCCCCTCCTCCCGGCGCGTCTCTTCCTTCCCCGGTTTGGGTTCGCCCCAGTCCCTGGGTGTCGCCCCTCCTCTGTGTCGCGTCGTCCATCCGGAGGGGCGCCTGTGCGGCTCCGCTGAGGGATCGGCTCCTCGAGCCAGATGTGCGCGCTGAGCAAGCGCCCCTGGGTTGTGGATCCAGCTCGAGCGAACCTTCAGGCGATTTTTGGGGAGGGGAACATATCTTGTGCACTCAAACGCGTGTGTGTGTGTGTGTGTGTGTGTGTGTGTGTGTGTGGGTGTGCGTGTGCGTGTGCGTGTGCGTGTGCGTGTGCGTGTGCGTGTGCGTGTGCGTGTGTGTGTGTGTGTGTGTGTGTGTGTGTGTTTGTGAGTGTGTGTGTGCGTGTGTGTGTGTTGCGTGTGTGTGTGTGAGTGTGTGTGTGTGTGTCTGTTTGTGTGTGTGCGCGTGCGCGTGCGCGTGCGTGTGCGTGTGTGCGCGAGTGCGCGTGTGCGCGAGTGCGCGAGTGCGCGTGTGCGCGTGTGCGCGTGTGCGCGTGTGCGCGAATGCGCGTGTGCCCGTGTGCGTGTGTGCGCGTGTGCGCGTGTGCGAGTGTGCGCGTGTGCGCGTGTGCGCGTGTGCGCGTGTGCGCGTGTGCCGCTGGAGTGGTCGGGTTGGTGGCTGCTGGGGTTTCTGGAGCGACTCGTGTTGCCGCTGCTCAACCGTCGACGGCCGCAGGGCCGACGGGTGCGGACGTCGCCTGGGGCGATTCCCTGGCGTGAAGACCCCCGCCGCAAATTCACCAGCTGCCGGGAGGACCTCCGGCGCTGCCAGGCCGCTGCGCTCCCACGCGGCTGCCGCCTGCGCCGACGCCGTACGGCCGCCTGCGAGGCGGCGGCTGCCGTCGGCCTCTTGCCGGCCGCCGCGGCTCTTGCGTGCTCTGCTGGGCTTTCCGGACCAGCGGCCGGTGCCGCTGCCGTTATTGCGGCCTGGCCGCGGACGGCGGCGGCGCTCAGCCGGCTGGGGGCTGCGGCTGCCCGCCTGGGCGCTGCTGTTGCTGGTGTTTCCGCCGCCGCCGCTGCCGCCGCGGCCGCGCGGGCAACCGGCCCCGGCCGCCGCGGCCAGCATCGCGGCCGACGCGGCGCTCTTCCCCGCTGACGGTAGGCCCGCCCTGGCCGCTGCTGCTGCCGCCGCCGCGGCTGCCGCTGCCGCTTCCGCTGCTGGCTCCCCGCAGGTGGTGGCGGCGGCGGACGGCGCGCTGGCTGGCGTGTGGCGTCGCGGCGGCTTCTGGATCGCCGCCAGCGGGTTCTGGAGACGCTGGCGAAGCTGGGGCCCGCATCTTCTGATGATGCACCGCCCCGATCAGCGTGTGCGAGAAGGACTGGCAGGGGCAGAGGCAGCCGGCCCTGGCGCTGCTTCGACAGATTTTGGGAGTGGAGCTGAAGCCCACGATCGTCGGCTCCAGCACCCCGATCAGCTCTTGCGAGGAGGACGTGCATGGGCAGGGGCAGCCGGCCCTGGCGCTGCTCAGTAAAATGCTGGGAGCGAAGCTGGAGCCCACCCTCATCTGCAACAGCACCCCGCAGCACGCGCGAAACGAACGGGCGCTGCGAGATGCTGGCTGTGAAGCTGGAGCCCGCCATCACCTCGCCCCGACCAGTGCGTGCAAGAAGGACTGGCAGGTGCAGCGGCAGCTGGCCCTGGCGCCGGTCCGTGAAATTGTGGGAGCGAAGCTGGAACCCACCACCATCTGCACCCCAATCTGCGAGTGCGAGAAGTACAGGCAGGGGCATGTGCTGTTGGCCCTCGCGTTGTGCACTGAGATGCGGGTCGCGAAGCTGGGGCCCGCCACCATCTGCCACGGCGCCCCGATCAGCGCGCGCGAGCAGGGGCCGCGGTGGCCGGCCCTGCCAGTGGCGCCACGGTTAAGGATGGCATGAAGGTGCAGGGGGACGTTGACGATGATGTGGAGGAGGTCGTGGAGGCGGGCATCGGGAGGGTCGGCGAGGAGGTGGGGGAGGTCCCGAATTGGAGATGGTGTTCGGGGGCGGGGGCGATGCGAAGGTGGTCGGGGAGGTCGCCGCGGAGTCCGGGGAGAAGGCGGGGGAGGCCGCGCTCAGGCTTTCGACGACGCGCTCGACGAGAGTGGCGAGGAGGGCGATAAGGAGTTGGTCATGGAGGGGGGGGGGCGATGAAGGCCGTCGGAGGTCCTGTCCGGGGGCTTCGCTGTCGGGCCACGCAACTACGGCCTCGCGGCGCTGACGCCCGGCGTCGCCGCGGAGCGGAGGGGCGCCGCTCATTGAGCCCCGCTGGCATCGCGGCGGACCGCAGCGCGGAGGTGCAGGGGCAGGGCGACGACGTCGGGGAGCCTGCGCCAAATCCTGCGCGCGCCAATTCTGTCGATGCTACACCGCCAATCTTGTCGACGCCACACCGCCAATCCTTTCGATTTCCTGCGAGCCGTGCCCTCCAATCTCCGGGCGCATGGGGGCCGTTGGGGGGCCGGGGCGGCGGCCCCTAGCCTATATGGGCCCGCGGATGCCTCTTTTCCGTTCGAGTCGACCCCCCGCCCAGTCACAAGCGGATCAGGGCGAGGCGGGCGGCGCTCAGTGTTCTGGGAAGCATGGGGTGACATGATACTTCGATCAACATTATTCCGGCCACTCGCTGCCTGGCGACAGCATCCCAGACCCAGAGAGACAGGGCGAGCTTAGAGATTGCCTTGCGCCGCCATGATGCTAACGGCCGCTTTGCGCGGCTGCGGCCCGCGTCGCCCGAGCGCGACAGCCCGGGCCCCGTCGAGCGCGGCGGCGGCGAGCGGGCGCGCGAGGGCGGAGAGAGCCCCGCGATCGAACTGGTCAAACGTCCCCGGTGGGCGGACCACGAGGACGACGCTGTCGTTTACGTCGTTTACCTGGCAGGCGCAGAGGCTCTGGCAAGCTCGCCAACGCCGCGCGGCGCCCTGGCCCGAGCGGGCCAGCGCAGCCATGGGGCCGCCAGCCCAGGCCAAGGAAGCAGACGGCCTGCTTCAAGCGGGCCCGGGCGTGCACTGCGCCCTGCGCGCTCGGACAACACAGCTGCGGGCGACGCTGGTGCGCGGCAGAGGTCCGAGGAGTTCCCTCGCGCCGGCTGCCGTGTCGATTGCGCCCCGGGCGGCGGACTGGCAGCCGGCGCTGCGAACGACGGTGGCAGCAGCGCGCGACAGACGCGTGCTTTCCACGTGGTCACGGGGGCGTGGGCTGATTCCCGTGGAATCGCGAGCACTGGGATTAGTGCACCTGGGGCCTTGAAAAATTGAAGGGGCGAGCTCGCCCAGAAATGGCCTTACGACAGGTCGCGATCGACATCCTGCGCCCCCAACCAATGCCCGGGCGGCAACCGGCTGGCACTCGCGCCCCGCCATGCAGGCCGAGGGCGCTGAGTCGGCCAGGGCCGGACACCTGGCAGGCCTGGAGAGTGTTCCAAGGAACAGCTCGCGGCCCGCATCAGGCGGCTGGGTTGTCGGAGCACTATTGTTCAGAGAGCTTGCTGCGCGCAGTTCGGCGGCGACGCGCTGGGCCCATGGTGGCGCGACGTGAGCTTCCTGCGCGGCTTCCTCCCAGCGCGGCGGTCCAGCTTCTGCTGAGCTTCCCGGCGCTCGCCTATTAGTCGCTCTGGGCACGTACCGCCGCGCCGCTCTATCGCCCTTAGTTCCGCCGCGTTTCATTCGCCCTTGCTTCTGCCCCTCCCAGCCTTAGGCCCAGTGGCGTTTTGTTTGCCGCCGGAGGTGGCGCGGCGGTCCAGACACCTTCCGGCTGCGCCCTTCCCGCGTTGGCTCGTCGGCCCCCGCTTGCCTCTGCATGGGTCGCGGGGTTCGCGCAGTCGTCGCCGTCGTCGGTCATGGGCTCGGCCGTGTCGCGGAGCCCCCCGCCGTCGTGTCTCGGGCCCCCCTTCCTGCCTCTGCCCTGTTTGCCCTTCCCCCCCCCTTCTCCCCCTCCTTCCGGGTCGCTCCCGCCGCGGGGGTTGAGCCTCTTCCGCGGGCTCGCCTGGCTGTCACTGCTGGCGTGGTACGCCTCTTTTGCTCCCCCTGTTCCTCCTCCACTGCGAGCTCCCAGCCCGCGCCGACCCGCCCGCCCTCCTTAGCGCCAGAGTTGCACCGCGGGGCAAGATTCCTCTGTG